ATACATATTTTTTTATTCTCACTTAATTATATTTTATCTTATAATCTTAATTAAGATCACAAAATGAGACAATATAAGTTAGAGTGGGACATTTTATATATATATATATATATTTTTTTTTTTTTCTCTCGTAGGATTTTGATAAACTCGCTCCTGGTCAGACTCTGTTATAGGACTTCTAATTTCGACTACGTTGTGATTGCACACGATAAACTCTTCTCTTGCAGAACGCACCCGGAAGCGGCCAGGACGTGGGACTCGCGGTGGCCTTAAACATCGAGCCTGACATGTATAAAGCTACTTCGCGTCCTTACGTAGGAGCTTCCATTATAATACATAATGCAATTGATTTTCCCGACATTGATGCACACATGGTGGCCGTGCCGATTGGTCACGTCCTGGAGATATCCGTTACCGGGACGTCTATCAGAGGTATGGAAAGTTTGAAGACCATATCTCAGGAGAAACGTATGTGTTATTTCCACAACGAGGTAAAATTATATATATTTTTCGACTTAAATCAAGCATTATTTAACGCTTGTAACTTCTGTAAACTCTCGCCTTCCATATTTCACGTAATTATAATGAATATACCTATAGGTACCAGGCAAGATTCGCTATAGCTATCAATCGTGCGTATCAGAGTGCATAACCAAGTACATACATCGTATGTGCGGCTGCCTGCCATTTTATTATCCGGAGGCGCGTGAGTGTACACAAAAAAATACATAAAATTTAATAGAATGAATTTAATTCTTGGGATAACATAGGTGCTGTATTCTTCAATTTCAATTTCTTTATCATTCCTTTATCAATTTTATAATTCCATACCTGATAGAAGGAGACATTTTGGAAATGCGTTAATACAATAATCGATAATATATATAAATAAACTCTTATCTGCAATCTGGATCTTTTTTGATACAAGTGAAATACCACTTTAAAATTTTTCCGAAATAAAGGAGAATGAAATTTGATTCTTTTCTCTCGCTATCTCTCTCTCTCTCTCTCTCTCTCTCTCTCTCTCTCTCTCTCTTTCTCTCTCTCCTTTCTAAAATAAATTTTTGTTACCAGTGGTATATCTGTAGATATGTTGAAAAGTAACTCTGAATTTTTCTACACTTTTTTGAAAGTCTACAACAGAGAATAAAATTTAGGCTAAATAAAAAGATCTTGAATGCAGATGGAAGGTTAATACGCGACATAATAATACAAGAAGAATATAATTAATATAATTACATTATGTTACGATATAATGGGCTAGCAGATAAGGGGATAAGGACATGTTATTTGCCTGACACAAATTGCCTTTTGAGCATCCGACGTAAGAAAATGGCTTCATATATATTAATTATATATATAATATAATTAGATATTTCATATATCTAATTATACAGAATTGTAGGTATACAATGTTGTTTTTCAAAATTCAGATTCGAAACTAAATTATGGGGAAATGAAATATTGCAACAAAAAGTGTCTGCCTCAATGCTCAGATATATTCTACACTATCAATCCAGAAAATATTAAAATGCAGGACGTGGGATATGATTCTGATCTAATGTGAGTCTACATCATTGTCTTTAACGAAAAGAATGTTAGCTTTTTCTTCGAGATATGCAATTATTCATATTATTTTCACAAATTTTTAATAATAGTAGCATTCTATTGAGGTATAAAAAGATTATATTCTTATATTTTTTTTTTATACTTGCTTTTCATACTTTTTATATTTTTAGGCACGACTTCGATAAAAATAAAGTGGCTCTCGTATACGTATTTTTCGGCGATGCCTCGTACATTGAGTATCGCAAGGAAAGTATCATCAGCTGGGATTCACTCATCGGTGGGTTAGATTCCAATATCTCGAATAGTTGGTGACAGAGAATTCATTTGTCTTTGATCTCGCTTGAATTAATTTTACTCAGTAGAATAACGAAATCGTGCGAATTATTACAGCATCCTTCGGTGGTATCTTCGGTCTTTGTCTCGGTGGTTCCGTGTTGAGCGTTATCGAATTTGCTTATCTCTTGGCCAGGCAGCTCTTTAGAAGAGAGACTCGCAAATGGCAGGAACAAACATGTACGAAATTGCCACCGGCGTCAGAAGTGTTTCTATCGATTCCCGCTAAAGAGAAAGTTCAATTACGAAAGCCGCGAAACCATCAGGAATCGGTTGACAAGCGTGTTTTCGTCACGTGGTATCAACCAATCATTCACCAACGTAAAATAACAAGTCTCGACAACATGAATCACATGAAACATGTCAAATTTTAGTCACGGTTAAGTCACAATTTACTTTAAACGAAATGATTTTTAACAAGTTGTTAAAAAATTTTTTTGTGATTGAAGCCTTGCATATAATGGAAGAAATATTAGGAACAAGTATAAATATAGAGAAATAAATGATTAGGAATAGAAATTAAATGCAACGCTCAA